CCTTTTAACTATAGCACCTATTAAAAAAAAAACCCTCACTATTCACTGGCTATGCAAGGCGAAAGGGGCAAACCCACAAGCCATCACTGCCCTACATGGCAAATCTCAGGTGAGAGGTGAGGGTAAAGTTGGGCCAAGGAAGAAGGGAGGATTCCTGGCATCATTTTCATATGATCCAGTTTGAGAGAATGACCTTTGTGGTGGCAACATCCATTTATGAATCTCCTCACTTGAAATTAAAGTTTGCAAGTTTTTCCCTCCAGAGCCTTAGAAGTATGAGATTAAGTTTTCATACAAATCCTTTATGGCTTCATAAGTTTTCAAGGCTCCGTCTAACATGTGCTGTTTCATGTTCTCCAAGGTGCTTTGGTCATAACTAAGCCAAAAAATTCAGGATGAAATGAAACATCTGTCTATTTTGTTCTGAAGGTAGAGAGTGCAATATAATCAGAGTTTAGTCATATATAATATGCACACTCTAAAGATATTAACTTGAGAATTGAATATAGATTGATAAAAATCTTTTAGAAAAATAATCTTATGTAGTTGACTTCTCTTAACCTGGATATACCATTTCTAGGAAATGTTGACAAGCAGTGTTAGAACATGCCCTATCTCTGGGATTCTAGTCCAGTCCTTCGACTGTTCCATCATGCGTTCACACGCTATTGCAATTTGAGTTATCAGAAGATCCACTCGGGATCTTTATTTGTAAAGAATGATTGGAGAATAACAGAGCAAAGAGTAGCCTTTCAATCACGGAAACTAAAAAGTAGAAAGCCTTTGAGGCAACTTAAAAATGCCATTCACTTCGGCCCCATGCTAAATGTTGCTATTTGACAGAGTCAGGGGGATTCTTTCATCAGAAAATTTACAGGAGGCCTAGAATGACAACTCAGCTTTCTAGATGGTCTTCTCGGTCAAGGGGTATGGCACTCACGTTTATTTTTTATGTCACTAGAACTGGAGATTGTGGTCTGTAGTTTATTAACGCCTCCTGACAATATTACGTGTTAAGAACACATACCCATGCTTTGTAGAGTTTAGACTCTTTGCATTTCACTTAATCCCATCATTTTAAGTAGATAGCAATGCCCAGCTTTAGTGGCGAATAAGTAACTCTCCAGCTGTGAGATTAATGGCTGATAGTCACACAAATAAGAGGCTGAGCCAGGAATCAAACCCTGACTTCTTTCTCCAAACTCTTAACCATATCAGTGTTCAGCCAAGAGTGGCAGAGGGGGAGCCAGGGTTCAGCTCTTGACACCCTCACCTCATTTCTCAGGCTGCTGAGAGAACTACAGGCAAGGCTCTGATTCCTCACAGATCCCAAGGTAAAGGAAGCAGAAGTGCAGGCACTAAGAGGTCTCAGCATTGTTTCCTGCGGCCTCTCCCTATAATGTGTTAGGTCTAGGTGATCTTCTTTCAGTGTAAACCAGTCTCCATCATGACACAAAAGGATCTAGAGACATTCAGAAAACTGAAGAAACCCAAGCCAACCGATTTGCCTGCAACCTGAGTGGGAATGAGCACTCCTGTGGCGTTCATCCAGAACAACGACCATTTACTCCCCTAAAAGACACAACTGGGTGCAGACCCTCACTCAACAGCTTAGAACAAGGGCGCTTTGTCTTACCGCTGCAGAAAATACTGCCAATGCTTGCACGCTGGGGAGTGCTTCTGATTTTACCTCCTTGGCTCCCCTCTCTCATCCTTTTACCTCACCTCTTATTTTTTCACTAAGCTTACAGCAGGGTCACGTGCTGCCATTACTAATGGAATCTTTCCTTCCATGTTGTGTCTTCCCTTCCTTTACTCTCTCTCCCATGTCCCCTCCTTCATTATGGGAGTCAAGCAGACACAATGCGGCCTGACCCAGAGAAGCCAAGGTCATTCATTGGTGCTTCTGCTGTGACCCCAGGACAAACCCTGAATTTGGGTGACATTTGGATTGCTTGAGAGGATTTATCTTTGTAGTTTCATCTTTCACCAATTCTGACGTACCTTTATGTACAACTTTTGCTCTCACTGGAGGCTCTTCAATTCTAAAGAGTTTTTAAGTTTCCCTTTTAAAAATTTATTCAAATGGTTTCATTTGAGTGAATTTGAGTGAATTCCTTGCTTAAATAGCTGGATACTCCCTCACCCTTCAGAGAACAATCATATGCTTCACTTCACATTTACTCCATAGAGGATATACTCAATAGTCATGACACTTGTAATACACATTTGCAACATTCTGCAATTATATGTATATATGTGTGACATGGTTCTCTTCTCCTGTCCACAGAAACTGAGATCTAGATTCAGCTTCGATATCTTTTTCTTTTTTATATTCTAGCTCCACAGAAGCCCACATAACTGATATATGCTAATGAGTGAATAGAAAACTATTAAGACAAAACAACTCCCTCCTCCTTTTGTGCTATCAGAAATATTGCTCTGAGCACATCATTTAAACAATCTGCAGAGTACTGCCGCTCTCCTTGGTGTCTCTCTGCGGCTCAATTGCAGATTCCTGTTACCTAGTGCTAAATCAATAGGTTGCAGCTTTGTCGAAGAGACAAACACTGCGATGGACATTATACCAACTTCTGAGTATAATAAAGCTGTGGGAGGTCTCGGGGTTCCACTGCTTCCTGAGAGGGCTCTTCCTGTGGAGGACACCAGGCTCCATTGCTTCCCAAGAGGGCTCTTCCTGTGGAGGACACCAGGCTCCATTGCTTCCCAAGAGGGCTCTTACTGTGGAGGACACTAGGCTCCATTGCTTCCAGAGAAGGCTCTACCGGATGCTTTCTGTTGCTTAGTGTCTGGGTTCAGCATGGACCGCAGTTGATTATACAAACATCACTTGTTACATCACATCAGAATCAAAATGACTGTGGAAGCTGCCTTTGGAAGTAGCCCACCAATCTTCCTTCTCTAGGGATCTGTTTCACGAGACCCAGATAATTTAATCTGCTTTCTTTTCCCCCAAAAAACTTTAAAGCAATTATATAAGTTTGGACAAAGAAAGGAACAAATCCTGAATGATGGTGTCCTATAAATTTAGGATGACTTTGCACGTATATGGGTTCATCTTTTTCCCTTTAAATGCAGGACTTTAGTCACTGAGATGACAAGGCTGAGTAAATACAGATATTTCACACACATTTTCTCGAAGCAGACCTTGGAGGCTAGGTAGGTCACCATTTGCGCATGATTTAGGAATAAGAAAAGTCTGGAATGCCTTGGTCTTGTTACACTAGTGAGAGGCACCAGCTCCATCGCCTTGGTCTTCGTCCCAGGGTGGTCCCACTGTCCTCATGTGCACCTTTGCTCTGGAACTCATACCATCATCCCTTCGATCTTGCAGCTGGCTGACAACTGGCTCGTGGGCATTTTCACTGCCGTCGGCTCAGGGACCTTGGCCCTGTTATTCATCCTCTTTCTCGCAGTTGTTGCTTCTCTGATGGCCTCCAACAAAAGGGCAACTCAAGGAACCTACAGCCCCAGCCGTCATGAGAAGGCTGGCCCTCGAGTGGAAATGTGGAGCCGAATGCCGCCCCCAGCCCTGGAAAGACTCATCTAAGGGCCTGCCTGCCGCTCCTCTGAGGAAGGAGCAGAACAAGATGAGCAACCACGTGGCCCTGTGTGGGCGACAGTTTTACATTGCTAGAGTTACTAACTTACAGCTCGGAGCCCACAGGGACTGTGGAAAGGATTTCCCTCATCGCCTTATAGACCTTCACAGGGGTTTCCCCTGCATCACGGTTTGCTTCTGTGAGCCATTCACAGAAATGTGTCTCTGTGCCACGGGTGACAGCCTCGGGATTAGCAAAGCATCTTCCAGACAGAGAACACTGTGTTGTAGAAAAACTCCCGAAGCTACCTTCGCCTTAAACTCTTTCCTGTACAATGCAGAGAAAATACTTAGTAGCCAGTACAATTTTCACCTTCCTCTTTTTATTTCACAGAAAAGGTGGGTTTTGTTTGTTTTTGTTGTTTTGTTTTGTTTTGTTTTTAGACAGTGTCTCAGGAGACCAAGCTGGCCTCAAAAATCACATGGACTTCCTCCCTCAGTCTCCTGAACTGTGGGTTTCCGTGTGTCTGATCATGGTCAGCTCAGTTTTGATTCCTTTATCATACAGTGAAAGATTCTAATGGGGCCTTGAGAGACAGATGCTCCCTAGGTAAGCATTACTGGATGGGTGTGAGAAATGGAGTTTGGGCACCCATTACTCTCATAAGTGCCAGGGGAGTGTGGCGCCTGCCTGCAGTCCTAGGTCTCAGAAGTAGACGTAGCATTGGTCACGGAGCCAGATGACTAAATCGCTAGGGTCGGTGAGTTCTGGCTTCAAGTGAGAGACCTTGACTCATTATAAAAAGTAAATAGTGAAAAAGACACTGTATGCCAATCTCTTGCTTATATATGTATGTGCGCACATTTATATGTGCACCCAAACATGGGAACATATGTACATACACACCATACACTAAAGCACCCCATACACACACATACACCCACATACCACACACACATATACACCCAACCCCCATAACCACGCACCCCCACACACACCCCAAGTACCCCAGGGCACACACACATGCACAGACACACACCACTCTCTCTCACACACACACACCGCTCACACACACACACACACACACACACCGCTGACACACACCGCTGACACACACCGCTCAAACACACACACACTGCTCACACACACACACACACCGCTCACACACACA